AGCCAAGCCCCCCCACTGGGCAGACATCCCCCAGCCCCCCACTAAGCCCTGGAATCCCTAGCCCACCACTGAGCCCCAGGGTGATAAGCCCACCACCTAACCGGAGGCGAACTCCCCCACCCACAGAGCACAAGGCCTCCAGCCCTCCCATCTCATGCCCAGGAGCCCACCCCACCTCCTCCGTCCCCTCCCCATCCCCGCCAATGTCCCCTTCTCAGGGACGCAAGGGGACAAGGGACCCTGAAGACAGGCGGGCAGCCACAACCAAAGCGCCCGGAGACACGCGCTCCATCTTCTGCCCGGCCACCTCCTCTCTGTTTGAAGCGAAGCCGCCGCTCTCCACAGCCCAGCCACAGGCCCCAGAGACCGCAGGCCCTCCTGGGAACCCGGCGGGGCACTGGCAGGGCAGCCTGCTGCCGGCAGATTCACAGAAGAGGGCAGCACTGAGCACCCTCAACCCTCTGCCCTTTGTCAGGAGGACAGAATCCGACCGCCTGCCGCAGCTGCCTGGTACGGACCCCACAGGCGCCTTCTGGGAGCCCCAGCCTGGCCACAGCAGGTAAGGAGCTTTGGGCTTGGGTCCCTTGGCAGGGGGGACAGGGCAGCCGAACCAGGGGGACTTGGGGTCTTCCAAGGCAGGAGTTTGCAGACTTTACTTTACTGACGGCTGCCTGGAGGGAGGCAGCTGGGAACTGAGGCGTGAGGTGGAGGCCAGCCCCAGCCTGAGTCCCCGTGACCATACCTGCTCCACACTTCGGGCTCCCCAGAAAGCTTCTCGTTGAAGAGAGGCCCTGTCAGACGAAAGAGAGTCAAAACCATGGCAAAAAATGGGGGGGTTCAAGTGAGTCCACCCTCCCACTGCATTCCACGGGTAGGGAAACCAGGAGCTTATGACCCCCTGGAGGGTTCCCGAACCCCTGGCCAGGCCACAAATCCCTGATGGGCTAAGCCCCCTGGAGCTGGCAGCCTGGTTTCCTGCAGGGCCCAGAATGAGCTGGGAGCTATCGAGCCACTGGGTCCCCGTGACCCCAAGAGTCACTGAGACCCCAAGGGAGCCTCTGTGGTTGGGTTCTCTCCATCCAGCTTTACAGTGTAGAAGTTAAGACTAGGAACTATAGACCGGGCTGTGACTCAAGTCTATCATCCCAGCACTTTGAGAGGCAGAGGCAAGAGGATTGCCTGAGCTCAGGGGTTGGAGACCAGCCTGGGTGAGCAACATGGCGAGACCTCGTCTCTACAATAAATCACAAAAACTAGCCAGGCATGGTGGCACATGCCTGTGGTTCCAGCTATTTGGAAGGCTGAGGCGGAAGGATCGCCAGAGCCCAGCAGATTGAGGCTGCTGTGGCCATGAGTATGCCACTGCACTCCAGCCTGGGCCACAGAGTGAGACTCTGACTCAAAAAAAAAAAAAGAAAAAGAAACATAGTAAGGTTTTTTTTAATAAACCTATTATATGATAACACAAATAATAAATGCTTGCGAAAAGTATATTTTCTAGAACAACAAAAAATTCAGTGAAAATAGGGGCATTGTGCTGCTGTGGTGCAAATCTGTCAGGTTCTGGCTTAAGAGAAAGACAGCGGGTTCCCAGGTCTGCTTCCCATGAGCCCGTGTGACCTCACACGTCATGTCGGCTCTGGTTAACACCACCCTATGCTCCCAGGCACTCGGCATCTTAGTATTAGGATGACCGCAGTTTTGACCTTATGGTCTTGGAAGTGTCTCAGAGATGCTTAGGAGTCTCCAGCTATGGCTTGAGAATGGCGGGCCCTGCAGGTGTGGAATGCACACATTGTCTCCCTCGTCCAGAGGATTGGGCTCACTTGTCCTCCAGCGCCGGGGCTTCGTGGAGCATGAACGAGACTCTTCATGAGAGCCCAAATCCAGGGGAGGGATCGCCCCGCCAGGGCAATGGACGTGCATATCACTGGCAGACAGGCTGGGCACACGGCTCCCAGGGGCAGGAGTGCAACCATAGCCATTCTCAAGCACTGAAAGAAGAGCCCGTATGCTCACATGGATGTTTCTCGGAACACGTGGGGAGACACGCCTTTTCCGGAATTGTGACCCCGAGGCCCACTAGAGAAGGGCCCTTGTCAGCACGTCTCAGATCAGATGAGACCCAGCTCAGCACCAGGCCTTGCCATCCCGCGTGGCCCGCACCCGTATGAGTCAGCGGTTAATTTCTGCTGAGTGACGCGTGTCCCAGACTTCACGATCTGTCTGGACATAAATGGTAATCTTTGACAAAGGACCCAGCAGTTGATTTTAAATACAGATATTATCTCGGGAAAGTTGTGCATGATTATAGTTAGATAAGCCTCCCCCAGCCACTTGAAAGAAATGAAATATTGATTATTTTTGCAAGGATCTTCACGTAATGCCACTCTCTTCTTCATCTCAGACGAGCTGCCCACAGCACAGTAGCTTTCAACTGAGAGCTTCTATAAATGTGAATGCATAAGTCCTCACTAGCCACTTATTCCGTTATTAGATTTGTAAAACGGTGCCCTTCAGGAGGAGAGCTTGGAAGAACAGGGACAATAGAATGGCATTAATTAAAAACACTAACATTTTGAAGCCGCAGGAACAGTAATAAAGTAACATAAAATTGTTCAAGAAGAAATAATGCCCTCCGTGCAGCCTTCTCCCCAGAACAGGGCAGCCGGGGAGGTTTGTTTTATGTCCTGAAGCTCAATCCTTGGGGCGGGGAGGAGGATTTGTGGAGGAGCCTTCCCAAGGTCACGTGGAAGGTCACATAATGACTCACACCCATTCCCATCTCCTACCGCAGCCCTGCTACCCCCCAAGCCCTTCCAGGCCAGGCCACAAGCATGCAATGAGCAAATGCCCGTTTTCAGCACTCCGCCCAGGTGCAGCAGGCAAGGGACAGAGGCCCACTCTCGCAAGCATACCAAGCCTTTGCTGTTCTGCGGGAGGCCAGCGTTTTCCCCCGCCGTCCTGCATGTGGAGAAACAGCATCAGGGAGGGGGTGTGATTTCCCCAAGATCCGGCAGTGAGCTGGAGCCAGAGATGGCTTAGGACGGGCTGCTCTCAGGCAGGGACTTGCAAGGACGAGACATACCCACGCGCCTGGCAGCCAAGGCAGGCTTGCAGGTTGAGCCAGCCTGTTCGGTGCTGACGCCCTTCCTGTCATCCTTTTAGAGCCTCTTTTAGAGAAAAAGATGGAGTTCATGTGCTCCTGATCGTGGGGCCTGAGATCAGGGCCTTAGAGGCTTGCCCAGGAGGTTGTAACTGCACTGTAGGTGTTGAGTCTCCCAGTGTAGGTGCCAGCCTCTAGGTCTCAGGGTCAGGACACTGTGTGAGTCTAGAAGGGTGAGACCTTCTCCCCTAAATGCAGCAACTGTCTTTGCTGACCTGGACTGCCCAGGCGGGTACTCAGGCAGACTCCACTCAGCTTCCAGGCTCAGCCTTCCTGTGGCCAGTGAGCAGTCTGGGAAGAGGTGGAACCACAGCCATGTGGTGACAACCAGGAAAGCTACCACCAGTCTGAGTCCCATGCAGGAGGGACTTGCTTGGGGCAGAAGGTTCAGGCTAGACTTCCAGCCTGAGGCCCATGCAGGTGGGCCCTGCCTGGGGTGGAAGGTACAGGTTAGACTCCCCGGCCTGAGTCCTTGACAGGTGGGCCCTGCCTGGGGAGGAAGGTACAGGCTAAACCCCCGGCCTGAGTCCCAGGAAGGTAGACCCTGCCTGGGGTGGAAAGTACAGACCTAGTACAGGCTAGACCCCCTGGCCTGAGCCCCATGCAGGTGGCCCCTGCCTAGGGTAGAAGGTACAGGCTAGACCAAATTGCTGTATTCAGGGAAAGGGTGGCAGCTGTGCCAGGCTGGTTTTTCTCTTTGCTGCCGTTGTTAGTACACCCAGCTAGGCCAAGCCCCATTAAACAGGAAGCACTTTAAAAACAAAAAAAGATCCTGCTCCAGCTCCCATGGGAGCAGCTTTGGGTGCCCAACCACAGGGCCCAGGCATCGGGCAAGATCAGGACCTCACCCACCAGCCCAAGCGCTGGCAAGGACAGTAGCAGCCAGGCAGACCCAAGTCGGGGCAGGCCTAGCACCCGGGGTGAGCGGGACTGTGCGGAGTGGAGGACAGAGAGGGAGAGGGGCCTGGGGACCTGCAGAAGAGCGTCTGACCCGTGCCTGTCCCTTCTCTTGGCAGCAGCAGTGAGGGGAGCCCCCTGAAGGATGCCGAGCCTCGGAGCAGCCCTTGTGCCCCAGAACCACAGGGCGGGCGGGCGTCTCCCCCAGAGCTCTGCGTCCTGGGACACGGGCTGCACCGGGAGCCCCGCGCCGGCCCCACCCAGGACAGAGCCCAGCCAGAGGCACAGCCCTGGCAGAAGGAGGCCATGGGGACGCCAGCTGCCCCCAAGAGCCAAGGGTGACGCTGAGCATCCAGCCCACCCCAGAGACGGCGAGAAGAGCAAACCCCACCATGGAGTCCCAGAAGGGCCTCGAAGGTGCTTGCCCCGCGGGACTGCTGGGTTTCCAACAGTCAAGACCCTGCTTCAGCTTGGGGCTCCAGGGTCCACCCCGGACTTGAGGCCACACAACGACCCTCTTCAGTCCTTCAAGTACTGGCCTTAATTGGGGGTGGGGGATGTTTGCAGCTCTCTTGGTGGGTTGGGGGCTTCCCCTGTTTCATGGTGCAGGATGCAGACGGTGGCCCCACTGTGCAGACATGGAACCCTAAGGCAGGAGGAGGCGGGAGTCTCCCTGGAATCACGCGACTGAGAATAGAGCAAATGCCTGCACCCCTGTGTCTGGAGCCAGAGTCTCTACCATTTCATGGCGTGTCACTGCCCAGAGCGCCCAACCCCCCCGCCGTCTCAGGCACATGCAGCAGCACACACAGTTGGGTTATTTATAGGGTTACGTGGTGGCATGGCACTGGCATTCCCACTCAGAGCTTTGCTTAGAAGCTTTAACTGCTCCCAGGACAGGAGGGCTCAGGTGGGATTAAGAGGCGTGGTCCTGCCCCTTCCCAGGGCTGTACACAAAGCTGCCAGCTCTCAGCCACGGCCACGTCTCCTGGCCCAGGCATGTATCCAGTGCCCTCGGACCCTACACATCCACACACTTTTACACTGGGGGATGGGTACCCCAAGCCTCCCAGACAGGGCAGCCTGTCTCTGCACCCTGTGGGTGCTAGAGCTGGAAGGCAGCTGGGCAGGGCACATGCACAGTCCCCCCAGAGGCTTCTTGGCCACATTTGCTCCCGGATCATGTCCGGAACTTCTGCAGGAGTTGAAATGAAAGTGAAGAGCGGTCATTTGTGCCAAAACTGTACTTCTACCCACATGCCAGGTGGCAGCTGCAGATCTTGGAATTTTTCCGCTGAGGCCGTGGCTGGCGTGTTTGTTTAGACAAGATTTTGCAGTGATCAGGTGATTCACTGTGCTCAGCGGGCTGTCAAAGGCAAGACCCCTCGACTGCGGGCACAGCAAGGGCACTGCCCTTAGATCTGCAAATCTGGCTTTTTAAGTTGGGGAATTACAGACCTCAAATTCTTTCTTGCTGTGATAGATTGGATAACCTGGGAAGTGAGGACTTAGGGATGACAGCTGCCCCCACAGAGAGGCTATGCCAGTAGGTGAAGCCACCGGGACGTGGCCAGTATTATCCAAAGGCACTCAAAGACCCATCGATTCAACCATGAAGGGGGCCACGCCCACCCTGCTGGAAAACGTCTGCACATCCAGCCACAGGCTCATGTTTACTGGCGTGGCTGCCCTCAGCTAAGAGTGCTTGGGCAGTGCCAGCCAGCTGGTTCTGGGGCTGAGCCACACCCCCCACTGGGTGAACAAGTGGGTGCTTCCTGGGAGGAACAATTGCAGCCCCCTAGGCAGGGCAGAGGCTGAGCTAAGAGCGTGAGAAGAAGCCGGGCTCGGTGGCTCAGCCTGTAATCCCGCGCCTTTGGGAGGCTGAGGTGAGTGGATTGCCTGAGCCCGCGGGTTCGAGACCTGCCTGGGCAGCGAGAACTCATCTCTACAATAAATCAAAAAATCAGCCAGGCATGGTAGCGCATGCCTGTAATTCCGGCTACTTGGAAGGCTGAGGCAGAAGGATCTCCGGAGCCCAGCAAGTCGGGGCTGTGGTGGCGGGGAGCTGCCACTGCACTCCAGTCTGGGCGACAGAGTGAGACTCCGACTCAAAAATAAATAAATAAATAAATAAATAAAAATAAAAATAAAAA